TAATGTTAACATCATTGAAAACTAAGACCATCAAATGAAGTTACAGGCAAGTGAAAATCTATGAAGCTCGCACATAATGTTTGGATAAAAACATGAGTAGTAAAATTCAAGTCTTACAAATTCTCTGTGGTGATTTTAACTAATGACACAGACTTTATAAAGCACAATAGCGAGCTACAGTCAACATAAGAATTAGAATCAGCATGCCATATGCATGAAAGGAATGATAATACTTAAATGTTCTTATTCTTGCTGGAAAGTGAAAACCAACCTTATCAAATAATCTATTGTATTATTTTTTGTTACAAGCCTCTTATCACACCCATTAGAGCAGTGTTGTCCAGTCTGTTTTTAAGCAGTTTTAAATGTATTGAATAATAATTTCAATTTCAAATAACCATCATGTTTACTTATCTAGTCACATTTATTTTGTTGTCCATAATTTCACTTTGAAACTTGATTACATGATGGATAATTTGTAACTTTTCCACCCATGATTGTACAGTTTATGTACAAGAAACATGTGTCATTGTTTAGTGAAAATTTTTGGAAATCATGTTATCATCAAAATGTTGCACATGATGAAGTCTGTCTGCTATGTACAGGTCATTCTGACATAAGGTTACGGTCCAGTACATTTTACCTGCATGATAATGTTTACATGTTTGTTGTACCCTTTGAGAACATATGAATAATAAAAAGCTTATAATAAAAGTTTTAGCTCATATGAATTATTGCTGTTTATAAAAGAGCTTTCTTTTTTCCCTTAAAATGGCTATAGGCAGATTCTATTGCAAACCTCAAGGAGACATTACTGACTGTGGAGATTCATTTTCTTTCGGGCTTTGAACAGCCACATTTTGGAATTTCCTCTTCAAAGCCACAGTAAGCATGTCAGAAGTGTCACTGTCAGACATGCGCCTCTGTCGTTTGAACGGTGTCCCACCAGGAGAGCGTTTAACAGGTGTGCTTCGTAACTCAGATCTACAGCCCTTCCTGATTCTTTTGAGGAGTTCTTCATTAGCTTGACTTTGCAGGGTTCTTGGGTTCTTTGTAGTTGACATACTCCTCTTTCTCAAAAGATTTCTAGAATCTTTCTCAGCTGTTGCTTTGTTATTACTGAGTGGAGTCAGAGGGGGTGGAGGAGGGGGAGGTGGTATCAGCATTTGTGGGGGAAGGGGTGCGGTAGGACCACCACCTGTACTTTTTGTTGTAACATCTATGTTATTTCTGCTACAGTATTTCCCAACTTGTTGGTACACCTTTGCAAGATTTCGCTTCAGAATGGCCTCTTTTGGTTTGGTAAAGCTGAAAGTGCCCAGAGTTTCAAGGATTAGATAAAGTTGCTTCATTTGATTATTCTTAGCTTGTTCATTCTCCTGTGGAATAAAAGATAGGGATTGTGCATAAATTAAGAAAAACTTAGAACAGTGGAACCCTATTAATCCAGCCACCAACTGGCTGCAAAAATCTAGCTGTATTAATGGGGTGGCTATTTAAATAAGAAAGTGACTGACTGAACTTCTGTTCTGGCCACAATAAATTGGCCGTAATTAACGAGGTGGCTGGATTAATGGGGTGGCCATAAGGAGGGTTTCCTCTGCATCTTACATCAGGTTATTGAAATAACCTCTGTTACTCCACATAATTTCATCTCTTTTTGACATTAAAATAATCATTACAATTTGAAAGGATTACAGTTCCCTTCAAGTCTAAGGGACCTACAGTCTTTTTTGGTGAAATACATAGCTCAGATATAAATACAAGTCTCCCCCTAAAGCCTTAGTTACAGATAAACAGGGCGACAGTGCCTCTACCCCTTGCCAACTAGTGGCAACCCAAATCAATGCGAAATTCCTGTACGTGAAGGTTGTGAAAATCATGTTTATACCTCTTCAATTTGTTGTCGAAGATTTCTGTCCTTCTCAGTCACTAAGGCCAACCATTCTTCCTCAAGGCAGCGGCATTGATCATCTGTGGGAGTTTATATATTAAGCTTATCAATCAAGGTCAGCTGAGTGTAAACACTTAACACTCATTAATTGTCCTCTGGGCTAAACCAGTCAAGGCAGATATCAATGAAACAGTGAGGAAAGATCATTGGTGAGTGACTATCCTAAAAATTCCTTTTAATGAATTTGAACTAAATCGAATATTAGAAAAGGGAGCCATATTAACAACCTTGCATGCATGGGGTTTGGAGATTTTGATGGACAATCTAATTTAGGCTCGACACTCGATTGTCTTGATTCACTTTATAACAAGTACAGACTAGGAGACTAGCAAACATCATTTCATTTGAAGGCACTAAATAAGTCACTTACCGGACTCTTGGCACTGCTCGTAAAGAATTCGAATCTCTACGCTTCTTCGTTCGAGAATGTCGTTTATAATCCTGTGATCACGAGTTGTTTTTAACTCCGCTTGCCAAGGATATTCTTTCGTATTCGCGGCTGAAAATTAGCAAATCAAATGACAGCTTGTAATCAAAAAAGAACCGTCACAATTTTACGAATTTTTTTACCTTTTTCCTGAGGATTATTTTGATTGTCGCACAAACGAGAAGCGACCTGAGGAACGCTGTGTTTTCCATCGGCGGCCATGTTGATACTTTCGAATTTCCCGGCTTTTGACTGTGATTGGTGGATTGACTAGCTCGGTCCCAATCTGCTTCGCGTCGAAACCCTTCTCAACCCCAATCCCTTCACGATCTGAATTTGCAATCATCTCTCTGGCTACCAAATCTGAAATTCAAATTGTTTAACATTTATGCGGGTCCTTTATAATTACTTTTCTCCACTTTAGAGACAATGTAATTTTCATCCAAGGCGTTGTTTTAAAATAAGATACTAATTGCTGTAGTTATGATCAATTGGAGATAATTTCCAAAAAACCTTAATGAAATATCATTGGTAATTCAGTTAATTGCATGTAATTAGCCTCATTTGCTTAGCTTATTTATCTTGAACATTACAGTTTGTAGCCGTCTCTTGGTCTAAGTAAGCCCAAGCGTAATCAGCTATCATCGCCCGGCCTGTTTGCGACTCGTAGTGGTTGTTAAAGGTAAGATTAATTTATTTTCAACCTACAGAACAGAGTATATTGAAATATTAAGGCAGATTCAACGTCTATTTGTGCGTCGCTGTTGAAGGACTTTTCGCTTCGCATCGATTTATAGCACCAAGCGTACGTTCACAGTGTACTGTATCGAAGTGTTTTTCAGGGCCTTTTGTTTCTTCTCCTCGGCCTAGTAATATTTACCGCGAAATCGCTAGCATCGAATAGGCCGCTGAAGACACACGATTAATTCGAATCTCAGAAGCAGCAGAGTTTGCGTTTTTCGTCGCACAAGAAAGGTATTTTGTTTTTCTCTCGAAATCAGAGACAAGGAGTATTAGGCTAAAAGGGATTAGGCACCTCCTGTTTTCGTCCATTCCGCCCCCGTAAGAGAAAACAACAGTTTGCGAACAGTTCGTTGAAAGATATTTTATTTTTTGCTACTGTGTTATTGGGTAATATTTGAAACAAAGTACTGAAGTGAAAATTGTCGTTCTGGGATAAAATGGACCGTTTTATGTAACGTTCATTGCAAATGGTTATTGCAGACGTAATCTTAATTTCTCATGTTCCCTTTAGAATAATAACTCTGGTGGAGAATCGTAAAGGACAGGTGACTAGGACAAAAAAAAAATAACGATTCACCGTGGTTAATTACTGTCATCGCCAGACCCTCAGAGACAGAGATAAACTCGAGGCCGCGAAAAGAAAAACAGTCAAAGTAAAACGTTCTAGCTTTCGTTTGAAGATTCCCCTCAGGGTGCTAGTGTTTATCGCAAAAACACACACGAGAAAACAAAAATAAAACCAAAAAATATCGTCACAGGTTAATCAGTTTGATTGCATAATCACAGGTCGATTTTAATGGGCATGGGTTGCGCCTGCAGCCATCTACATCAATCACAGAATTGTAATCTCAGACTTGTGTTTAAAAACCTTTTCCAACTTTTAAGGGTCGCGCGTTCTGTTGATTGTTTGTGTTTGATTGCTAAATTTTGAAACAAGTCTCAATCGCCATCGGTTCAAATTCCCAAGCGAAATGAAAGAGAAAATTAAAAAAAAACACAAAACTAAACAACAACAAACAAAGGAAAGCCTGGATGGATATCTGGAGGACTTGCTTTTCAATCAGGAAATTGCAGCCTGACCGATTGCTCGCCTAAAAGTTTTTATTCTTTTTCTTTCGACTGAAAAGAACATGGTACTAAGGGTGTCCCCTTATTTTGATTATCACTTGAGTAAGACACGACGGAAGTTTGGTGACGAAGTTTTAACCTTATAAATTATAGTGTTGTCACGGGCAACTTACCTCGTTTCCATTGGTAACAAAGCCGTGCGTCGCCTGTCGCGTCGCCTGTCGCGTCGCCTGTCGCGTCGCCTGTCGCGTCGCCTATAACATCGTGCGCTTTGCTCCCAATGACGTCAAAGGCCGACAAGTTGCCACTGGAAACGGAGTCAGTTGCCTGTGGCAACAAAAAGATTTTCACAAACCTGGTGACCAAACTTTCGTCGCGCCTTACTCAACTGGTAATCGTAGTACTGTGTTAGGAAAACAGCGCACAAAGGACGATGGGAAGACCTCGGCTCTGTTTATTCGCGTTTTATTAGTCACGTTGTACATCGTTCTTCTATTAGCATTGTCTGGCGAAAATCGACCTTTTAAATTTGCCGGTCAGTTCTTTCACAGCACGTGCTTCCTCGTCCTCAGGCTGGAACGTGCACGTGGTGCTTGATGGTTAGGTTTTGAGCGCCTGACAACACCACGGGCGCAGCGCTTGACAAGCAGTATCACGTGTTTATCATAACATTTCGAAACAACATATCGCAACATTGTTGGGCGCAACATGTTGCGACATGTTGGGTCAAATTTGAAATGGTCGAATTTGAGCCAGTAACATCCAACATGTCGCAACAAGTCGCAATAGGGTGGCCAAACGAGCGCAACATGTTGCGCCCAACAATGTTGCGATATGTTACGTTAAAATGTTGTGATTGTTTGGCCGGTGCTTAACAGATAAACTGTGTTCCTCTTTCAGGGTCTGCTTCAGCCTTCATGAAAAACGAACAGAGGAGACGGGTCAACGGCAGATTTTCGTTATAACTCTTCAACGCGCTCCTTTCCTCTGTGTTAGATGACAAAACATTTATTTCGTGGTGAGTGCTTGTTTGAGATTGGTTAAGCTATCCCCACGTGATCCACTTAAATGACGTCATTGCTAACGTCATCTCCTTCCCAAAATATGCCTTTGAACAACTCTGATCTAGAAGTCAACTGCGTTTCAATGACTAATTTCAGTCGTTGGCCTTAAATAGCCTTTAAGTTGAGAGAGAAAAAAATTGAATCGCAGCAAGCTTACAATCAAAATTTGGTAAGTGCTCAAACTAACTTGTCCCTTTGTCCTGGTTTAATTCTGTAATTAGCAAATATTGAATGGCGAGGGTCGGAACTTAACGCCCACCAATATATACATATTTCGCAATAGCAGCAATTACAAAATATATCATTTAGGTTTGTCGTCCAGTCAACAAGACCGACCTGCCTGGCGACCTGTTTTAATTGATTTGCGCTTCTTTCCGTTATGTTTGAGTCGTCGATTTTTCCAAGCGGAGAAACAAAGATTAGACAAAAACGTCGCCATGTAGTCTGAGGGAGCAGTTCCCGAGCCACGTTTGTTGGTCACACTGAAATTCGTAAATGTGGCAATTACCGATCTATAATTAGCTGTAGTTTTCTCTGTTTAAAGAGCCGCTTGGTATTTTCGGATTAATCTAGGACTACTGCTAAAATTGCATACATGAAAAGTAGCATTAACGGATGTTTGTCGTTTTTAAAATTTCTGACTGGAAAAAATTTCGGCCGAATCAAAAAGCGCATCTATTATGATTTACGTAAATGATTAGATCTGTTTCCATTCGTCGATGAAAGAGACATTCAAAAGAAAAAAAAAATCCCAAACAATCAATGTCAACCTAAAACATGGGGGAAAAAAATTATACTAGCCGAATCGAATTTCCTGAAAGAGGTGATTTCGTCTTGAATTGCATTCTGAGGCAACAATGATAATCGAAAGCAAAAAATGAAACTAAAACCGGGTGAGTTGCACGTGCATAATTATCTAACGACTCACTATAAAATAAGTGATTTAATAACCTGTGATCGACTAGACGATAAAAGTAGAATTGCCCGTCCTGTTAGTACCCAATTCGAGCGGCCATTTGTTTTCCCACGTCTATTTTTGTTGTTGTTGTTGTTGTTGTTCGCTCAATAATCTCAGGGAAATTTATATTACTCCAGATTGTACGAGGCTATGAAGAGTAAATTCTACTAAATTGTGCATAAAAAATGTTACTTGACCATGATGAGGAGGAAAGATTTAAGTGATAACCATTCTCCGAAAGGTCGACCAACTCATGAGAAAAACTTCAATTTAATTTAGGTAACGCCGTCACAGAAGCTGACCACAAAACAAGGGTTATCTATACATAGCTCTTCAAAGCTAACCATGTGAGATCTTTGTATAAAAATAATGCTCAAGGAACAAGCGCAGCTGAGATCGAAAAATTCCTCCAACCTCGTTCCCATTCAACACTTTAGAAACGAGAAGAAAGCTGGGGCAAGTCTCATCTCGCAGTGGCTTGTAGAACTGAGTCCCAGAAGCGACTGCGAGATGCGACTCGTCCCAGGTTTCTTTTTCCAGATTTCTTCTCGTTTCTAGTGCATGGCGAATGTTTATCCAAGATGGCGGACACGGCGATAGTTAATGGGAAACCTTGAAAACGAGGTTGATATCTTTGTTATTGTCTCCAAATGTGATAAAACTAAGAAAGGATGCGGAAATGTGCTTTCGGGATTAGAGTTTGTAGGTGACGCGCAGATATCTTTTCAATGGTGGACACAGCTCAGAGAAGAAATGTGCTTTCGTGAGCACAATTTATCAGTTACGTCTTTTGATGATAAACCTTCTTAGCCCCAGACACGCAATAACTTTTCAATGGTGCTACACAGTTCTGGGAATTAGCCGAATGCGGTTACAAGGCGTTATTTATAACACAATGTCTAGACTAGTACATGAATAGATTACTTGTGGCATGAAAGGGAATAAAAACAAAGGAAATCCAAGATATTCTGATAACAACGACAATTGTGAAAGAACTAATTAAAATTTTGGTCAGGCAAGCCTGAAAATTGTTGCCAAACACTATTTTCCCCTCTGCCTACATACATTCATGTGATACATGTGATCAGAATTTCGCTTTAAAGTACGTATATTCGAAACTACATGACAGAAGTCCATAACTTGTACTGTGTTTTAGAAAAAATTATCAACGAGACAAAATTCAACGCGGTTGGTAATTAGCAAGATCAGTATACCTCACGTTTAGCACAAAAGGCATAATCTCGAACTGTTCAAACAGGTCCTTTGTTTTTGGATATGTGGTTGTCTGGATTCATAGCGCAGGTGGACCATTAGCTCGAATTAGCAGTCGTTATTTTCTTTCCTCGTCGTTTCAAGAAAGAAGGCTAAATTACATGGCACGAAATTTCGTGTTTTCATGGGACAGGCTAAATTAAGATGAGTCAGATTTTGCTGGGTAAGCATATAGGTTAAAGTTCTCATTCTGTAATTTACTAACGGCCAATTCTAGTTTGAAAAACAATAACAAGTGAGTTGTACTAATTTCAAGGACCCATTTTAATTTCTTGTCGCAACCTATACTCAATCTGCATGATTAAGCCTAGGACACATGGACTCGCTTTAATCATCGAGTCAGAAAAAGAAACAACTCTAAAGACCTCCACAGACTAGACATTTAGTTGTCGACAACTATTTGCAACAGAAAACTATTTGTTATCGACAACTAAAGAAAGAGTGTTGCGTGTGAGATGAGTTGTTGACAACTAAACGCTAAATTTTTAGTTATGGAAAACTAAGCAGTTTCCCTTTTCGAAAAGGGAAGCTGCTTTATTTGTAGACAAGTTATATTTGTCGACAACAACGTTTTTGGTCGTTTTCAGTTCCCGTGTGTGCGAATCATTGGTTCGTGCACAGTGAACTTATAAGTTCCCAAGGTCTTACTTACACATCGACAACTAACACTCCAATGTGTGGAATGCTCGTATCGGCCGCAGCTGTCAATAACATTTAGTTGTCGACAACTAAATGTCTAGTCTGTGGAGGCCAAAGCTAGATAAGTCTTACGAGTGTAACAAGTTAATAACCAGCGACTTCTTTTTAGCCATTTTATACGCTTGCAGTTACGAAGGTCTGTTTTAAGGGGTCTGGGGTGAACACTCCGCCAACCGCCATATTTTGTTCCTTCGAAACCACAGACCGCTTTCTTTTTCTCCTAAAAAACGAAACCGCCCTGCTAGCAGGACGATAATCATCACAACCGATCTTTTAACAGTACTTATTACATGGCTGTGTCTCACAAGGACTGGGAACTACCGAATTCACGAATTTGATTGGCTGAAATCGATATTGAAAGCGGTCTAGATTTTCCCATCTAGACCGGCATCTAGACCGGTAATGTTTTGCGGGGAAAAGTCGCAAACTTTAATGCAAAAATATTGGCTATTTTCTTCTAAAAATATTTATTTATGGCAGTGCCAAAAAGTGTGATAAGAAAAGAAAAGAAAAGTAAAGAGGACGAGAACACTTCGGCAGATTTATGTTCAGCTCATCGCCGTTCGCAAGCAAAATGTCGGCTAGTTAACAAACCAGCTACATTAAATAAGCAAGGACATTTCCCTCAGATTTCGATAAATGCTACTGTCGAAGCGTTTAAATTCACCAAAATCTAACGCTGAGAGCACATAATAGCGGAGCGTACGGCGACTGAATTGAAAAAGGTCAAAGAAAGATCCAGCGGAAAGCCGAGCTCACATGGCAAAATGTCGGCTAGTACAAACCAGTTACATTAAATAAATTAAATTTCTCTCGCTTGCCATATAATAAACATCTTATTAACCGAGCTTACTCGGCCTGTATAGGAGAACCATGACCTCGGTCGTGTGTACAGACCTCACTGCGTTCGGTCTGTACTCACGGCCTCGGTCAAGATTCTCCCATAACAGACCTCCTGCTCGGTTAATAAGAGCTAAGTAACAAGTTTTTTTCTACGATACGTTAGCTCAAGAGCCGTATTTCCCGTCACAAAGACCACAAGATATCAAGAACAGAACAAATTGTGTCTAACCCCCTTCAGTATTGTAACCAGCAAACAAAACGTTTTGACGTCCGATGCATTTCACAACAGGGGTATCGAATGGTCCTATTCAATTAAAGAGCGCTCGCAAAATTTGGCCTTTGCTCGAATTGCTCGTAGACATTAGATGAGTGCACGGTTGCTCGTGCTCGCAAAACTTTTGCAACTGCTCGCATGCTCGGATTCTCGTTAATTGCAAAACTGGGAAACATTGGGGGAACATGCACAATCCTTGTTCTTTTTGGGTCCTATCAACTTTGAAAGTCTTGAAAGAACACACGAATAATGACTAACCGCAGAATGACGCAGCAAGGCCCCATTCTCAGTTCTTCTCCTTGTAACCTTCATACACTATTGAATTCTCAAAACGAACAACAAAGGATCAAAATCTTAAATCTCCTTACTGATAGCCTTATATTTCTTTGAAGATTAGCTCTGAGAATTTGGTGATAGAGTTAGAAGGTATACTTTCTATTCAGCAATGTTGCGAAACTCAAAAGCTCATTACCAGAAATTCCAGTTAAAAATTTTGGAAGGGCAATGTTTCGTATCATGCACCAATTTCAAGGAAACATTTGTTCAAAAACAACAAAAAAAATGCCGATTTATCATTTCGCGACGTGAAATTTTCGCCATTTTATCGCCGAACAAACACGAAAAATCGACGTCGTTAAAATTACAGCCTTAAGGTTGGTTTTTATATGATCGAGAGTACGGGGACTTCTCGAGATCAGGTAAAATTGTGCTGCTGTTTAATCAATTGAGGGGCAACGAGTGTGCTTTTAGTTTAACACTGGTCATCGTTCGTGCCTTTTCCGACACAGGAAGCTCGTGAAATAAGCTTATGATGTCTGTTCGCAGGCAACAAAAGTGTTTTTCTACATCGTGACGGAGCCTCGGCCATTATGCCGCGTTATGAACTAAAGAAGATTGAAAATTTGTTACGTATACAGGTGGTGTTTCAAGCAAATAAAGTTAACGTCTTTCCAGCGCCTTTCGACTGAAAGTTTAACAGTTCCAACCCAATAATCTCATTTCAAAACTTCCGTTTTACATAGTTAAGTTGCTAGGCTCTTCCAGCCGTCTAAAAAGGCTTTAAACGTTACTTATCCAACCAAGCAACCTATTATTTTAAAGAGCAACTGCAACAAGCACATTTTGACACTGACTTCGTTTCTCGTTGTTAAGTCTCGATCGAGTCGAAGAATTTTTTTTAAATGCGACCAGTTGTCTCAGTTATCGACTGACAGACAGCAGAATGATCTTAAATTCTGGCATATTGAACACGGGAAGCTTTAGCCTTATTCGCAAAAGAAGCTTTAAACTTCGTGTAGTTTCACTTCCTTTTGTGTCAGTGAAAAGAGGCGTAAAAGCAACACACTCAAAAGTGTCAGAACAGCTAATTTTTCGTTCGCTTTGTTTTCCGCTTCCCCTTTCCGCTTCTCGCTTTTAGAACAAAAGGCTTTTAATACGCAGAGTGCGTACTTGAAAAGCTATTTTAATCTGCATTCTTCATTAATAAACGCGCATGGTATTTTCACTGAAAATAGCGACAGCAGATGTTTCCGCGAACCGTTAAAAGGATTTCAGCATCTCACTAAAGCGATGAGATGTTATCGCGGTGCTAATTGGATTTAACGTGGATTTTCTCGGCGGAGAATTCAAGCTTGTGTCACTAAGGTTTGCCTTATGTCTGTATAAATGACATTTAAATACTCAGGCCTGTTTTAGGTTTTGTTTTGTTCCTAAGAGAGTGATTACTTCTTGTCAATTGTTCACTGTTTTGTTTTGGAAACGTGATTATTGAACGGTGCAGCGCTGAACGCCCGCCCGCGCGAACGCTGTTAACACATTCTGAGTATCACATTGCATACATACCACACTGACTTCTAAGAACCAACCTTAAGGCTTGATCTGAGCAAAGCATTAATTTTATCAATTACCCCTCCTAATTATAAAACGTGAAGAGTGAATACAAAAAGTACAGACAATTGGAACATTGTCAGCAATACAAATCGGTCAAACAAAGATTGCGCGAAAACTTTGCCCTCGTTAACCATTACAACAACTGCGACCGACTTTCTTTAAACTTTTTACCAGGGTCTAAGAGCGTTTCACACCCTTTTTGACCCTCTTAAGATTGCAATTTTTAGTTAGTCTCCATAGTACCGTTCAGTTTGTTTCGTTCGGAAAACCTTGTTAAATTAAAAATGGTTTCCTGTGGGAATTGTTAGAATGGTCCTTTTTTAGTCCTCAAGCCCCCATTGTTCTTCAACCAATCTACGCTAAGTCATAAAACCGTCTGCTGTTGTTATTTCAGGGACCTTTGAACACTCAATATGACATATGGATGTCCTGTTTATTGCATTTCCATGCTTTGTTTTAATTACCAGGGCCTAAGTTTGGTCGGCACGATACACTCAGAACAACACTATGGTTTGCTTGCCTGGACAGAAACTACCATAACAGAACATCTGATTCCAGTCCCATGTTAGAGCGATAACGATCGATCCTGTGCATAACTGCAGCTATAATGAAGAAAAACTCGACAGCTTTCATAATCTTGTGGTTTATCTGGTCTGTGAGCCAAGTCGACCTTGTACAGAACTACAAAGGAAAAAGCGAAAGCTTAAGCTATGTGTTCACAAAAGGAGACTTCATCATTGGTGGCCTGTCACCCGTTCATTTCTCCCCAACTGAAGCCGAAGAACAGCAAAATCCAAATTCGTTCACTTGCCAAGGATTGTTAAACACCCGCGGCTTTGAAGCCGTCGAAGCGATGCTTTTTACTATGGATATGATAAACGAAGGGCCACTTAAAGACATCGTGTTACCAAACATTACCATTGGCATGGACATTAAGGACACTTGTGGTAGCGGAGACTACGCTGTTCGCGAGTCGCTGAATTTCTCGTTCATTCGCAACGCTCACGTACAAGAATGCTCGGGCACGAAGCCGCCCGACGAACAACTACAGACCGTTGCCGTCGTCGGTGCGGCGTACAGTGGCGTGTCGATGGCAGTTACGAACCTATGCGGATTGTTTTATGTACCAGTGGTGAGTTACGCATCGACCAGCAGTTTGTTAAGTAACCAAGTCAGATTCCGTTACTTCTTGAGGACAGTACCCAATGACATGCTGCAGGCAAAAGTCATGGCGGATCTGGTTCGCGCTATGAAATGGAACTATGTCATCACACTGGCTTCGGACAGCGAGTACGGACGGTCGGGCATTGAAGCGTTCAAACATGCACTCGCCAGCTTTGGAAATAGCTACGATGTCTGTATTCCTGTAGACGAGAGGTTTACCAAGCGATCAACAGATCAGGAATTCGAGAAGATCTTTGGAAAAATGAAAGCCAATCCTAAGGCAAGAGTTGTGATTCTCTTTGCTCAGCTACACGATGCCGACATACTGATCAACAAATTCCGTCAGCACAAGTATATGGCAAAGGAAAAGTACGTCTGGGTTGGTTCAGATGCATGGGCTGATTCCAAACAAGTCTTGAAAGGCAACGAGGACATTCTACGAGGTATGTTTGGTGTGGTGCCCGAAGTTGTGCATATTCAAGAGTTTGACAAGTACTTCACGAATTTTAATGACAAAAGACGCAAGCGAAATCCTTGGATGCGGGAATATGAGTATTTAAAAGTGGCGCACAATCCAGCCTTCTACCGCCAGACATTCAGACATTATCCCAAAGCACAGTATGTTATGGACGCAGTCTTAGCAATCGCTTATGCATTACATAACATGCTCGGCTGTCAGTCTCGCAAAGACTGCTCATCGAAAATTTCACAGAAAGTAAAACAGCAAGGCTTTCTCAACTACTTGGAGAGCGTGCGTTTTCCGGGAAAGTCTAGAGAATACTTTTCTTTTAATGAGCTTGGCGATGCCATTGGCGTTTACGATATTCGCCATCTGCAGCTGGGAGGCGGTAATTACGAGGTCGTGAAAGCTGGCAAATGGGGTGCCAAAGAGTGTGATGTGTTTGGCACGAATGCATCGAAAAGTTCCTGTCTTGATTTGGACATGAAAATTATGAAAATGGTTAAAGATAATCTGAAGAACCACACGGAAAAAGGCATCCCTTTCTCCACGTGCAGCAAAGCCTGTCCGCCTGGTTTTCACAAGAACCCTGAGAAGAACCACGCAAAATGTTGCTGGGAATGCCGACCTTGTAGTGGAAATGCTATCACGAACCAAACCAACATGGACGATTGTACGCCATGCCCGCGAGGAGACTGGGCCAATCATAATCACTCGCGCTGCGAGCCGATAGAACCCACATCTTTACACTGGCGTGACACCCTAGGTGTAATAATCATCTGTATATCAGGGGCAGGAATCCTGGCTGTCATTTGCACCTTTACTGTCTACTACATCTACCGTCAGACTCCAGTGGTTAGAGCTTCCAGCAAGGAACTGTGTTACATTCTGTTAGTTGGTATCGCTTGGTGTTACGTTACTCCAATCGTCTTCCTTGTGGATAGAACAGACCAGGTCTGTCGCGCTATTCCTTTTGTGACTGGACTGTGTCCGTCGCTCATAGCGGGGACGCTTTTAACAAAGACAAACCGCATCTCAAGGATTTTCAACCGCAAACTCTTGAAAACTGGCACACCTAGCTTTTTGTCCAAGAAGTGGCAGCTCTTGATGGTGATTTGCCTAGCCGTTGTAGAGTGCCTCATTGGAGGAGGCTGCGTTCTATTCAGCGAGACAGGAAGCCGCCTCTTGATCTCGGAAACCAAAAAGGAGGTCTGGAAACAGTGCATAGGCCTACCTAACATTTGCACGGCGATTTGGTGGGTGTACAATGCAGGCCTTGCATTAACTTGCACCTATCAGGCATTCCGAACACGGAAACTGCCTGAAAATTACAACGAAACTAAGTTTATCACCTTCACTATGGTCATAACTTGCATCGTTGTCACTATCTTCATTCCAACGTACATTGGAACACAAGGAATCTACAGGACTACCATCACCTGTTTTGTGTTTATCATAGGCGGTTCTGCAACTCTCTGTTGTATGTTTGTACCTAAACTGTACATAATTCTGTGGAGGCCCGAGAAAAATGTTCCCATGCAACCGCGATCCTCGACGATTCGTCTAGGAACCATCTCTCCTTCAGCGTCCTTTGTGCGACGTTTGAGCGTCGATTCCAACGCGGAGAGAGTAAAAGAAGGCAGGCAACAACGAATCCACTCTTTGCCTAGTATCGAAATAACCAGAACGGATGGCGAGGGCGGAAACAGCGAAGACGTACCGAAGTTCAAGAAAACCAAACGATCCTTTTCCCTCAGTCCGGACATGTTGTCGAGAGCTCGGTCGAGTCCCAAGCGCAGCTCCGAGCGGAACCCGAGGACGTTTCCGGCCCGTCGGCGAGCTAGTGCTGCAAATGTGCAATACCCTGCATCCATGGATATGATCGAGGAAGACTGCGAGCTCGAGCAGGTGCTGGAGACAACTGGTGACAGCGACGACGCCGTGTTTGAAAGTCAAGAACTCGTCAGAGGCTTAGAACAGCTGAAACCGCAACTTTACGACCGTGATAAATCCACTGGCAGTTTGGATGTGGAAGAAGGTGACTGCGATTATCACGAAAATGATGTTTTATTGTTTTCAACCATGGAAGACAGATTGGAAGAGAAAGCTAACTGCGAAGAGGGTTATACGACGTATAAGGGTCGTTGTGATAATGACAACTCTACCACTTGTACCTTGAATAAAGATGACTTTCTTGGTGAAACTGAGAGCGGGTCAAACCCTAAAATGCACAGCTTTCCAGGGAGTGACTCGGAACTGGGCATAACCTGCCAACACTGCGGAAATAACTTCACTAAAACTAATAAAGACATCTTGCTGAGAGTTCTTCGCGGACACTTATCAAACAATGGCAGAAGCCAAACAGGCGAAAAAGGAAAGAATCGGATACTTAACAAAGTGAATAACCCACAGTACCAGAATTATCAAAATGATAACGTTGCTCGCAAGAGAAAAACTGGCATAGCTGAAGTGATCGCTGGTGATGAACGCCTAGCGTCTAGTGGTCTGGATGTGAATGACAACAGGCCGGTCAAACGACAGCGGAACCCTAGTTATTACAGATGCGAATCTCTCAGTTTGCCTTCCCTAATCGCTCCTTTCTCTGAAGGAAGAGACTCCCTTGATTTCAAAGTAATGGCGAGCAAAAAAGCGCGAGAGAAGCACAAACGCTTTCTTCCAAATAGAAAGAACTACATTCCCAGAGAAGATGATGTTAAGAGTAAGTCTAAGCCGAATGGAGACGTTTGTCATCTTTTTATAAATGGCGAATCCGACGAGTTTAAAACCGAGACTGATGAGCTACTTTGCGAAGATGGAGAAGCCGAAACTGTACTGTAAAAAACATTGGTCACGCAACCATCACGCAACGCGCACGGCTCGTCCTCATTAAAAAAGGCTTGGCACAAACCTTTCATATAAAGAGAATCTAATTCACAAAAAGATTAAATGCTTGTAAATAATAAAGA